CCCTCCATGTCTTCTATCCGTGCAGAGATGGCAAGCAGATTGACCAGTGCAGTGCAGTACAGTATCCAACAGGAGAAACACCCACCAAGCTTGCCCGGTTCAAGTTCAACCTAGTTGGCTTGCAATACTATACTATGGAGGTACTGAACAGCCATTTTGGCCAAAAAAAAATGAAAACATGGGGATGAACCGCCACTTTGGCCAAATAACCGCCAAATGACGGCCCTGAACCGCCAGAATGGCCAAAGTGAACATTGAATCTAACCGCCAAATTGGCCACCCATGCTCCTGAACCGACATGATTGCTCCTGGACCGCCAAACATGGCACTGATCCGCCAAATTAGCCATGTATCCAAGGGGTTTGTGACCTCGTCTCAACCCCTTGGACTCTACACGCCCCATCAATACACCCAGTCATCCATGGGAGTGGAAGTACATCTCCCATGGATGATAAACACCCCCATCAAGGACTGATTTCAACCAGTCCTTGATGGGGTAAGCCTCCCATCAAGGGCTGGTTTGGACCTTGATGGGAATAAACAACCCCATTGATGACCGGTTTTGACCGGTCATCAATGGAGGACACACTCCCATCAAGGACCGGTATTGACCGGTCCTTGATGGAGGAAACACCCCCAAACACCCCCATTGATGACCGGTTTTGACCGGTCATCAATGGGGGTCAACCCCCCCCCCCCCCCACACACCCCCATGACCGGTCATCCAAGGGGGTGTTTGGGGGGGGTGACTCCCATCAAGGACCAGTCAAAACCAGTCCTTGATGGGAGTGTGTCCTCTGTATGGGACTGTATGGCCAAATTGGCTGATGGATTCATTTTTTTTTTTAATTTTTTTTTAATTTTTAATTTTTTTTTTTTTGGCCAAAGTGGCGGTTCAGTACCTCCATATTGTACTTGTATTGCCCCACCTTGCATCGCAGCTTGGCTGGGGTACCCACTGTCAGTCCTACATATCTCATCCATCATGAAACTGTCCACAAAAATCTCGGTCCACCCTGTCAAGTATTTTTCAGAGTGCATGAGTTCTGAAAATCCAGATGTTCAGAACTTGTCATGTGATCTGCCCAAACAATTTTAGGAAGGTTCCAAGGTTCTTGAAAAAAAAAAAAGACACACAATATTAAGTTGCAAGACGGCTATGCAACAACATACTTATGTCCAGTCACCCACACCAAACCAAGCCAAAAAAGAAAAGGAGACACTTATGAGTGGTAGTACAGTTGCAAATTGAAGTGTGTGTGTTTTTTTTTCCACCATGTTGATGAATGTGACAAGTTTGAAAGCAAAGACAATGTTGCTGATTCTTTTCACCACGCTCTCTGACTGAACCCTAGCTTAACATAAGAGCATCTCCAACCGAGGAGGTAAACCGGGTTGCTAAACCCGCACGGATAGCAACTCAATTAGGACCTCTAGCAACCCGCGCGGCTCTGCCAAACACCCGAGGTTGCTATTATAACTACCAGAGGTCTGTGAACCTCCATTACCCGTCTTCCCCTGGCATAGCCTCCACATCGCCACGATACTCCTCCATCAAGCGCCACAATACTCCTCGCATACTCCACAAACTACGATGAACGCCCAGTTCCTTGAAAATCTCCTCGAATCGCAGGCCATCGCCCTTGCGGGGAGTGATAATCACACTCCACCCCCCTTTGCACACACACTCCAACACTCCCTTCTCTGAAGGGAGTGTGGGACCGCACTCCAATTGAAATTGGAGTGCGGGTCCACACTCCAACCCTCTGCGCGGGCATTCCCCCAGCAGGGTTGGCGTGCGGACCTGCACACCAATTGTGATTGGAGTGCGGTCCCACACTCCCCTTCTGAGGGGAGTATGGGAAGTGTGCATGTGTATACATTATACATATGTAAATATTCCCTGGGTCTATCCCATAGGAACCAGGGCCTGGGTCTTATGGGATAGCCCAGGGCTTGAGCCGTTGAGGCCGAACCATCCTTGTCGGGAGGGATTACTCCCAACGGAGAGGGTGTTCAACCCCATCTCGTCGGGAGGGATTCCTCCCGACGAGAGGGTTTACAACCCATCTCGTTGGGAGGAATCCCTCCCGACGAGATGGGCTTAAGACCAGCTCATCGGGAGGGTTTCCTCCCGATGAGCTGGACTATGTACCAGTTCATCGGGAGGGTTTCCTCCCGATGAGCTGGACTATGTACCAGTTCATCGGGAGGGTTTCCTCCCAATGGGCTGGACTATGTACCAGCTCATCGGGAGGGTTTCCTCCCGATGAGATGGACTTAAACCCAGCTCATCGGGAGGGTTTCCTCCCGATGAGCTGGACTATGGGCCGTCAGGGTTCAAACGAATCGAATCCCTGTAGGACCCAGGCCTGGGTCCTACAGGGATCTTCAAGGCCATCGGCCAAGGTTTGAACCTTGGCTGATGGCCGTCAGGGTTCAAACCTTGAACCCATGTCGGTTCAAGGTTTGAAGCGGTCAGACCGTCTCTCCATAGGACCCATCCCTGGGTCCTATGGGATATGCCTCGACCTAAACCCATATGAATATGGGTTTAGGTCGAGGCATATGGAATTGCTGGCTGCACGCCTGCCTGCAAGCGAGGCAACCTTGCTTAACGGCTGGCGTGCAGCATCACACGCCAATCAAAATTGGCGTGCGGACCCGCACGCCAACCTGCTGGGGGAATGCCCGCGCAGAGGGTTGGAGTGCGGTCCACACTCCCATCAGAGAAGGGAGTGTTGGAGTGTGTGTGCGAAGGGGGGTGGAGTGTGATTATCACTCCCCCGCCCTTGCCACTACTCGACGATTTCAAACGGTCCTTTCAGATAGGGTAAATTTCATACTCAACCAGGACAATGAAGATAGCAATCAGGAAACGTTGGTTTGTGGCGGATCGAGGCCTGGTTGTTGCGCAAACTTAAACCGTGGCTTTGAGGAAGGATATCAACAATTTTACAAAGACTACCTTGCCCCAGAACCTGTTTACGTGGATGATCTTTTCCGCCGTCGATTTCGAATGCACCGGGGCCTTTTTTTGAAGATTGTCAATGATTTAACCGAGCACAACCACTACTTCAAGAGGAAAGCCGATGCATTAGGTTGATTGGGTCTTTACCCCGTTCAGAAGGTTGCCTCAGCGATTCGGATGCTTGCCTACGGGGGCGCAGCAGACATCAACAACGAATACTTTTGAATTGGTGAAAGCACATCGTTGGAGTCTTTGAATGAATTCTGTAATTCAGTCATCAATCTTTATAGCGCTGAATTCCTTCGCGAACCGACCGTGGAAGATGTCAAACGGCTAGCCACAATGAACAGCAAGAGGGGCTTCCCAGGTATGCTTGGTTCCCTTGATTGCATGCACTGGACTTGGAAAAATTGTCCAGCAGCGTGGAAGGGTCAGTATCAAGGAAATAATAAGGTATGATTTTTTAATTTTCAGTGCGGTTAGACTTTAAGACGATATTGACCATGATAAACCACAGGTGCCCACCCTCGTTCTTGAAGCAGTGACCTCCCATGATCTGTGGATTTGGCATGCTTTCTTTGGGCTTCCAGGATCGCACAACAATATCAACATCCTAGACCGATCGCCTCTCTTCAAGAAGCTTGTTAATGGTGTCAGCCCTCGGCTTGAATATACGATCAACGGAAACACTTACACGCAAGGGTATTACTTGGCTGATGGGATCTACCCAGACTGGTCAACCCTAGTCAAAACCATCTCAGCCCCTCAGGGGCTTGAAAAACAGGTAAGTGATGTGATGTTTTGACTATACAATTATGGTTTTAAACCTCACACTTGCTGATCTGACATGCTTTATAGCATTTTGCCAAAATGCAAGAGGCATGTCGTAAGGACGTTGAAAGGGCTTTTGGGGTTCTTCAAGCACGGTTCTCGATTGTCTCTCAACCAGCTAGGGGCTGGAGCCACGATAATCTCCAAAAGATCATGAAAACTTGTGTGATCTTGCAGAATATGATCATTGACAACAAACGAGGCACCAATGAGGAGTGGATTTATGATGGCTGCACACCATCTGTTTGACCAAGCCCAAGTGGCTCTGCGGATTTCTCGGCATTCCTGGCAAACTGTATCACATTGCGCTCATCGGAAGCTCACTACAAACTAAGAGACGATCTTGTAAAGCACTTGTGGGCCCTTAAGGGAGCCTCAAAAGATGCTCATCTCATCGGTCCCAATTAGTTTTCTTTCTTCTTTTTCTCATTTTTTTTGTTATTGATCCCGATTCTTTTTTTTTCTCTTTTTTTAACTGCCTGTTCCCCTTTGGTCAAAGCCCTGTCTAGTTGCAATGAAAAAAGGAGTGCGTTTTTACTTGCACAATGAGCCGCAAGTGTGTGAGAGAGAGAAACAAGCTAGCAATGATAATAAAAAAAAGAGTGGTTTTTTACTTGCATTACGAGCCGCAAGTCTGAGAGAAACAAATTAGTGATGATTGAGGAAAAAAAAGAGAAACACGAGTGTGAGAGAAACAAGCTAGGGATGATTGAGGAAAAAAAGAGACTCGATAGCAATGATTGAGGACAAGCGTGCAAAATAGAATCAAGATAATATAATCTACAATTAAGTTGACTACTCCTCCTCTTCCTCCTCCTCCTCTTCTTCCTCGTCCTCCTCCTCTTCCCCTTCGTCATCGTCGTCATTGTCATACTCTCCTTCATCATTGTTGTCTAATAAGTTTATTACTGCTGATTTTTTTCTAATTTCTTCGTCCTTCTTTTTTTTCTCCTCCTCTTTCTTCTTGGCTGCCTCCTCGATTTCTTTCTTCTTTGCCTCCTCTTCTCGTTTTTTTGATCGGTTTCTTTCTTTTCATACTCTTCTTGTTCTCGTTTCATTTTATCCAGCACTTTTTTCTGCTGCCATTTGTAATATGGTCGACTAGTCTCGCTAACCGATGATAGATCGGTCTTCATTACATAAAGATGGTCGGTCCGCATCCGGATATCCGTTTGGATGCGGATATCCGATGGCAATTTCAGCGAAATTGCACATCCACATCCGCACCCGCACCCGCTAGCGGGTATCCGTCGGCCGCAGCGGGTATCCTTGGATACCCGCCCTCTAAAGGGCCGGCGACGGACCGGCTGGAAGGGCTTCCTTCCAGCCGGCCATCTCCCCTTCCGGCCGCGGGTATCCTTTGGGATACCCGGATACCCGCCAGCAATTTGAGGAAAAGGGGCCATCCGCACCCGCTGGCGGGTATCCGCGACGGATACCCTTTGACCATCTCTATCATTACAGCCTCGTCAGCCAACATTGAGATCGAATCGCGTTGTTCAGATAGAATATCGTTCTTCACTCGAGTCTGCTGTGCAAGTTCTTTATGCACCGCAATGATGTCATCTTTGAACTTCTTGTCCTCTCGGGCCTTGAGGGCAAATTCTTTGGCCTTTTTGTTTCCAATCGGTCGTGCCGTCCTGCCGGATTGAATGGTCGAAGCATCACTGTTGTTGTCCATAGCAGGAGCATCGGAGGAGAGAGATCGATTGGTTGTATTGTCAACGGACGGGGTCGAACAATGTTCGACAGGTTTCTTTTCAAGCTTGACACAGTGGTCCTTCCATTTTTGAGTGTGGCAGAGGATATTGTAACATCGAAGGTGCATAAAACTTGATTCGGAGAGGGCTAAGTACAGCTTTAGAGCACTGCTCAGTCGATCTTCGACGTTCCGCTTTGATTTGCTTGCTCAACCTGTTGAATACAGCCGCAAAACTTATTGATTCGGCGTTGAAGAAGCTGCCAGCGGCTTTTAATGCTGACTGATGTTCGACTCTTGTCCTTCATGGCCACCTGGAAGTGATCAGTGATGCGGTTCCAAAAGGTATTCGCGGCCTGGTTAGTTGAGTTCAGAGGGTCTTGGGAAACCTCAAGCCATGACTTGCATAATTGCACATCCTCGTCCTCTTGATAAGCTTTTGCTCGAGACGGTTTTGTATCGGATTCGCTAGTCGCAGCCTCCTTTGAGACGTTCTTCTTTTTGTTTTTAGGCGTAATTTTTTCTACTTGAATCTCGGCAGGTGCATTCTTCTTTTCCGGTTGGTTTTGCTTGATCGGACAAATCTTCTCAGCCGGAACATCCCCTCCCTTGCTTGACACCATCTTCTTGGCAGTCACATTTGTGCTTGCTAGTGATGCGCCATTCCTCAGTGCCGGTTTTGGGTTCTTCTTAGCCGGTATTAATTTCTTCTTTGCTGGTAGTGCATCATTCTTAGCCGTTGGTATGTTCTTCTTCGGTGGTAGAGAGGATTCAATCGTTGGGGCTTTTTTGGTCTTTTTGTTTTTTTTCTTTGGTCGCTTTTCGGTGTCGGAATCTACTTTGAGGGGATGACTTGCTTTGTTTGTGGCTTGAATGTTGGTATCTAGAACAGACATATAAAAATTAGTGAGGTAAAACCAACGGTGGGCCGCTACGCTACACTACGCTATTTGACCACTAACTGTTAGTGTAGCGGCCTTTTTTTCTCTAGAAAATCTGTAGTGTTAGCGCACGCTAACCACCGCTGAGCTAACTGCCAGCGTAGCGTGAAATTTTTCTCTCAAATTTTCTGTAGTGTTAGCTTCAAATAATCACCGCTAAACTAACAGGTAGTGTAACTTTTTTTTCACTAACAAAATTTTGACTAACAGATAGCGTAACTGAGTTGACGCTAACATTTAGCGTAACTGGTCTCACACTACGCTACACTATATTTTAAGCTACACTACACAATGGTGGACAAATGAAAAATTTGAAGTGAGAAAATAACACAAATGCATGCCTTGAGGTGGAATTGAACACTTGACATGACAGGTTAGTAGCATATCCAGACATCCTCCTTGTCCACATGACTAGCAGTACACACTACGGGCAAATATCTGTCGCTGCGGCCCGCAGCGTCACCTGACGTTTCACAAGAAACTTTCGACTCGCGCGACCTGTGAAACCCAAGTCGGCAGCGACAATTGTTCCCCCGGCAACGACAGTTGCTCCCCCGAAGCGACAGTAGACGATTTTGAATCCACACATAGTCCCCCCCACCACCTCAAGACTTCCAAACCATCTCCTATCGACCTCATCCCATCAAAGCACCTCTCAATCCCAAGCATGGAGATTTGCGAATGCTCCGCCTGCCTAAATTTTTACATCCTCGGCGAAGATGGATATCGAAGGCCTGGTCGCTACTTATCTTCCCGAAACATCGCCAAACATCGACAAGCTGATTTTGACCGAGCACCGCCAATCATTCCTACGCCATCTCAGGAAGTCTCATCCAGTTCTTCAAGCTCACCCCTATCCGAAACAGAAAGTGAACTGTCTTCCATCATTGAGACAAACAATCCACTTGGCCGTAAGTTTCTCTCTTTTCTCAACCCACCAAACCACGATTCACTTTTCTGACCCGTGCTTAAATTCTAGTTTATGTCATCCTTTTCGTAACATGGCTCCATCTATTCTGTAACGTGAGCCGGGAAAAATGTACGACCGCCATTCAAATGATTATCAACATTCTCAGTCTAGCTGTGAAACATCCGAATTCGATTCCAGACCCTGCGTTGATACCACGCGATCCTCGAACAATAATTCAAAGAGCTAATTTCGATGTTCAGTTTTCCGAAAAAATCTGCTGTCGAGTCTGCTTTAAACTTTACGATGTCCATCCTAGTACCCCTCAGCGATGCAACTACAAACCCTTCACAAACTCAGATCCTTGCAATGAAGAACTTTTTGTCAATAAGAAGATCTACCGAGGCAATAAAGACATCGGTGATCTTGCGTATCATTTCAAACCACCCGATTTTCCTCCCAGTGTTGTTGGAACACCTCGATGTGTATTCCTTTCTCAAAGTATCTTAACCTGGATGACATGGCTTCTGTCAAAGCCCGATACCGAGAAAGCTATTGATGACTGGGTGCAAACCAATCAAGACCTCAAGGATCAAGGCTACTTTTCCGACATCCAACACGGCGAGGTTTTTATGAACACGAAGTGGAAGAACAAACCACATATGCTGAAACTAGGATTGTCGCTGTTCGTCGATTGGTTCAATCCTCGTGGAAACAAGATCAGTGGCAAGGTACAGTCAACAGGGGTCCTTGCCCTTTCCTGCCTCAATCTTCCACCAACATTTCGCAACAAGCTTTCCCACATGTGTATTGCTGGAATCACCCCCGGGCCCTACTCACCTGATCCCCACTCATTCAACCATCTCTTGACCCCAATTGTGGACGAACTAATCAAGCTAGACACCGGTATCATCATCCCAACTTACCAATTCCCAGCCGGTCGATTTGTTCAGATCAAACTATTATGTGTCTATGGCAATGTGCTTGCAACCAAGAAGGTTGTTGGTTATGCTTCTCATTCAGCAACTAAATTCTGCTCCTTTTGTCATGCAATACAAGCAAACATTCCCAAGTTACAATTAGCGACCAGACGAGAAAAAGCAGAAACAATCCACTCCGCGCACAACTCAAAAAACACCAAATCAGAGACTGCACAAAATGATCTTTTGAAGGAAACGGGTGTCCGATGGTCAGAATTGAACCGACTTGCGTATTGGGACCCTAGCCGGCACGTCGTCTTAGGAATTATGCACAACTGGCTTGAAGGCATATTGCAAGGTCACTTTCGATTTCGATGGAGATTTGGGTCAGTCCCAGCAGACGAAGCAAAGAAACGTCGCCGGAGTGGCTTGCGGTTAGAGGCTGGATCGAGCAAGCGTGCAAGGTTGGATATAGCTGAATCAGCCATGTGGATTGACGATGAAGACCCATCCGATGAATCTGACGACGACGAAGATATCTTGCTAGATGGCGGTGCTGGTGGCAGTTTCTTTTCGCTCGATGACATTGTCCAATTTCGCACAGTCATGTCACAAATAATACTACCTCCGGGGGTCCCACATTTGCCTCAGAATCTTGGGGAGGCAAAACACGGGAAATTAAGTGCGTCTCAATGGCACGCACTATTTGTGTTCATTGTGCCTTTAGTATTGTGTGACATGTATGTGGATGAAGTAGGAAAACTCGACTTAAACTCAAATCGATACCGGGTTCTAGCAAATACAGCTCACCTCGTCGCTTGTACCAATGTGGTTTTTGCTTGAAAATTCAAGTCAGGGGACCTTCAACGATTTGAAATGCATTACAAAAAGTACTCGGATTCTGTCGGTGGGCTATTCGAAGGCGTCAAAGTCCAACCAAATCACCACTTCTCACTGCACATTCCACAACAAATGACCGGTTGGGGGCCATTGGCTGGTGTAGCTGAGTTCCCAGGCGAGCGCCTCATAGGATTCTTACAGAAGATTAATACTAATAACAAGATTGGTCAGTATCAATGTCGTATTCATCCTGTGCTGAGCTTATTGCTGATTTGATTTTGTATAGATGAGATGCACCGAAGTATGATAACCCGTGGTTGCCGCTTACAACACATGATGGCAGATCCTGATTATAATCAACTCACTAAGGTCCAAGACAAACAAAACACATCAACAGTTTCCAAAAGAAAGCCTATAAGGCTACTACCATCAACATATACGCTCCTCTACAACATGATTTCAAGGAACGATAAGTCAGTAGTCAACCGCGAGACGTTTCTGTTACCCCGGGGTCGTTGGATTCTGTCGGGAAACGCGCAACCAGTGAGATTTCTCAGCCACAACGGTGTTACTTTTGGCTCGATGGCCCCTCGTAACTGTGTGGTGGCAAATGTGGGGGGCAAAATGAAGTATGGAATGGTCAGGCAGTGTTACAAATACGAGCACAAAGGAGGTGAGATGAAAGAGTTCATGGTCATCTCACCTATTACAAATCGATACCCAAAGGCAACAACCGCGATTCCAACTCGGCCGTTCCGCTACTTGCTCTTCCTTTTTGGCATGGTAGTGGGGACAGTTGAAGATGAGGAGGAGGTGATGGTGCCCTCTCAAGTGGTGTCCCTTGCGGCGTATCGGCTGCTTGAAAAAGGGACATTCTCAATTAAGCTAAACGGTATAGCACTGATACACTAGAAAAATCTGTTGGATCGCATTGTGAAAAATGCGCGGTAACATTGCATGTCACATGCATTGTCAACCTCGCATTTCTCAAAAATGCGATTGATTTGCTAGGGCTAAACATTCAATTGCATTTTGAAAATGCAAGGTGACATCGCATGTGACATGCAATGTTACCGCGCATTTTCACAATGTGATCCAACAATTTTTCTAGTGATACCGCGTGGATACGATGCTTATCTCAACATATCCGGTCATGATTAACTCCATCCCCCTTTTTTGTTTCCTCCATAGTCTTTTCAGTCATGTATGTATTTTTCCTTGTGATCTCTTTTTTCCTACTTGGTCCCCATGTCCATCTTCCTCCAATGTCTTACTTTTAGACATAAATGCCGCTTTCTCTCTCCCTACAACCCACAGGCCTCAGATCCCAGATCTTTTTTCTCATCCAAACCTTGTCCCCTCTGTTAGAAACTTCCATTTGAAACCAATCATGCCCGGCAGCCACATGCATATATATACCATGTCTTACTAATTGTATTCAACTGACACATACCCACTGAGATTTCCCATCAGGTGCTCTGATGAAGCTGAAAATTTTTTGAGAATACACTAAAAGATTTCAAATGTGTCACATGAAAGTAAGTGTGTTGAAACACTAAAGTAATGTAAGAGCTGTGAGGAAACTAAGAGCTTGATTATAAGCATGGGTATGGATTGTCTTTTTTCATTTCCAATTGCAGCCTTGCTCTTGCTTTTTCTCAAATGTTGTGAACAGGATAAGTTGTCAATGCAACAGATTTATTCTTGTCAACACGACTGCATTGTTGCACATCAGACAAGAAACAGGTCACTGAAAAGCTGGAACTAGAACATAGATAACATGTGGATTTGGAGACAAGAGAGGAAAGAGATTGGAATCTCGAGACAAGAGAAAAAAACATTGATATGATAGGGTTGGGTACCCCGGAGAAAAATAAGACAAGATACTGTAGTATCTGATACACGATCAATAAGCTATTTGATGAGCAAGGAGGCTCTTGTCTCGTCTGCAATAAAAGAAGTTACCAAACCTCCTCGCCCTCTGGGATATCATCCATCGTGTGATCGCCATCAAGAACCGTACCTTCATGAGCTTCGTCATAATCGTCGTTGTCATCATCTTCACCGCTCTCCTCTGGTTCATCGCCGTTGGCGGAAGACTCATCTTCCTCTTCCTCGTCGTACAGGTTGCCAGCGTCACCCTCCACGTGGTACTCGTCTTCGGAATCAGACCCCTCGCTTGGCTGAGTCAAGTCGATTCCCTCACCTTCCTCGTCTTGTCCGCCTCCTTGAGTCTCCCCCGCAACCTCCTCCTCTTCAGAGGATTCCTCCTCCAGGAGGCCATACGGCTCGACCACGAGTTCCCAATATTTCTTGGTGAATGTGGAGTCTGCCATCTTCTCATCCGGATTTTTCTCGGTTTTAGGGAGTAAGGACTCATTTGCATTGGGGAAGAAGGCAATGCGAGTCCTGTCGGGAATTGAGTGTTGCTGGGCAGGGACAAGTTCATTGAACCACTTCGGGTGGTAGAAATCGATTGGTAAACCCTTCGGGGCAGCCTTGTAGGACGACATCTGTGGCTCCCTTGGTAAGCGACGAACCCGGCGCCGACTAGACCTCGCTAATGGATCTTGCTCGGCCGCCTTCATCATAACAATGTCCAATCGTCGGAAGAAACGGTTGGCGTTGTTTGAGCGGTAGGGCAGGGTCTTGATCTTGTAGAAGCCTTTCCCTTCTACTTTCTCGTCATCACTGTGGGCCCCGATTGGCTCCAAGATATCGCGATAGCGTTGTGGGAACTTGTTGAGAATAGCAAAGTTGCGGCGCTCATCCCTCAACTACATCAAGTACAAAACCAAATAAGTTAGTGATCTACTTGAGGGGATAGAAGGAAGATTTCACGTACTCTTTCGCGGTTCTTGTTAACCTTCTTATTGGTTGCTTCTTGAGCAACCTTTCCTTTCTCTTTGGTTTCTTTTTTGTACTTTTCGACTTGAAGATAATGGACGAAATGGTTGTAGGCTGGTATGAGTAGAGTCATGTCTTGAGCCATGACCGGATCGACTTTGAGGTAAGCGTAGGCCGGAGTCGCTGCAAGCTCGGTGAAAGTTGTCAGGGCAGCAATTCGATGTGCTGCGTTGTAGAGGGAAGCCAAATCTTCATCCAAGTTGGGGCACCAGACAGATAAGCCCAACTGGGCCATGATTCCTTGAGCGTAGCGAACGAAGTTGCTTCCGAGGTGGATTACCGATTTTCCGAATTTGACGCGGCCACCTTGGGCATCTCTCAAGCAAAGTACTTGGGAAAAGTCTCTGTTTGCAGAGCGAGATCGGACAGCTTCTTCGAGTTGCTCGGTTCGCCTGAACCGTCTGTAGAATCCTTCTAGGGTGCTTAACTCGGGGGGCTTCGGAACCGAGTCCTGCTTGAGGAGGCCCCAGAGAATCTTGATGTGTACAAACAAGGCAGTCTTCAAAAAGTTGTGTCAGTAAGCTGGTGATTGAATAAGCGGTGAGAAAAAAAAAAACATACCTTGGTTGGTCCAAAGGCTGCAGGAAAGTCGCCCCTTTGCATTTGTTGAGGGTGTCGCTTTGGGGAAGGTTTGGCGACAGGCGTCTCGGGAATTGACTTGCGGGGCTTCAGCTTCCCCATGAATTCGGGTGGGGCCGAAGTGGCTCGCTGGTTTCTGTTTGGGGCCGTTGGGACTGGGGCCTTCTTCTTGGCACGAGGGGCAGAGCTGGAGGACGGGCCAGCATCATCGGTAGTAGGAATGGCGGGCACAGTGGACTTTTTACCCTTCGACTTCGAGGCGGACTTTTTTGAGTTGAGGCTGGTTTTGAGTGTTTCGATCTCGTGGGCAAGCTTCTCAATAAGCGCTGCTTGGCTGTCGGCGGCGGGGGCTGAACGTTGTTTTTGGGTATGGTGATCAGTGAGAGGAACAGGGGTCAAAGAGGCCCAAGCGTTGTGAGAAGGATCCATGCTGAGGTTGGAGTAAAGGAAGTAGAGGGTTATGGAAGCCTATTCGTGTTGGTGGATGGATGTTGGTTGGCGGGAATCGGACGCTGGAATGGTTGGGTATTTATATTCTATCTGAGGGGTGTGGGACTTGAGGATTGGGTGGTCTTGAGATTCGCAACGGTCGGTGAGTAGGTGCAGTGAGATGATCTGTAAATAAAAGGGCATCAATCGTATTAAGGTTGAATGGGAGGTTGGACATGCACTGCCGCCAGCGACAAACAGTGTTATGTCTATGATGCTGACGTTTCCATTCAAATGCTGTCGTTGCATGCCAGACATCTGTCGCTCCTGATGACGTTGCATATGAATGAAACCCCGCATGCAACGTCTGGGTGACGCTGCGGGCCGCAGCAACAGATATTTGCCCGTAGTGACATGAGGAATGGGTCGGTGAGTTGAGGTTCAGTCAGCAAGAGGATGACATGGACATGCCTGTGACATGTTCACTCCCTGGGTTCTGAGTTTGAACTTGAAGTTCAAGCAAGGGGAGATGTATGTCTGACCTCCAATCTCTTCCGATCCAAGCAAGACCCCATCAAGATTTTTCATCCTCATCCTCATCATCAACTTCATCAAAGCTCAATCTGATCTTCATCTCAATCAAATACTAATCACAACCACATCCATTATATCCCCCAATCCAAAAGTCTCTTCAGCTTACTCCCTCTTCTGAAACTTAGGTCTCTCATTGGATTGCATTGGACTAACTTTAATCAATTCGATCTCAGCAACCATTCGCTTTTAGTCAACATCATGGCTGACAAAGTTGTAGCCCTTGATGCCAGCTTTCCAACGAACCAAAAATTAAGGAAATCGGACCTTTTTTGCAAAAGTTATTGCTACTCAAAGTCAACCATCAAAAATCAATCACTTCCCCAAAAGGGAACAAACTAGAAGACTGCTACCCTGGCTCTGATGCTTGCTAACCTCCCCCCCTCTTTGATTTAGATACCCCCACACACATTTGCTTGAGTTGACCATTGACTGTGTATTCCAACCAGGAGGGGCCAAAAAAGCGGTACAATTTCAAATTTGTGCTAAGCTTCTGCAGGTTGCTGATCTAATTTTTTGCTTCTTCTTACTCTTCCTGTTTCCCTTTCCTGCAGCTGGCTACTAAATGATGGAATAAATGGATCTTGGGGTGATTCAAACCCTTGGGACTAATTTATCTCTTGATAGTAATAATAATGCCAGTGTGAAAGCAGCAAAGAAACGGTGCAAAGCCAAAAAAACAGGAGCTTCAAAACCAGATTCTCAAACAAACTCTCACCCCTAGTGATACCACCTACTTTTTTCAATTGGAGGAGAGTAATCAGTTACACTAACTGTTATTGTAACTCAGTAATCAGTTATGCTAACAGTTAGTGTAACTTTTGATCAGTTACGCCAACAGTTAGTGTAACTGAGGGGATCAATACGCTAACAGTTAGTGTAACTTATCAAAAAGTTACACTAACAGTTAGTGTAACTTTTTAGCCCACTAACCACGCTAAAATTCCACTAACAAGGGATTTGGTTAGTGTTAGTTGTTGTTTTTTTTAGTCCGCTAACACTACGCTAAAGTTTTTTTGTTTTTTCAGAAATCCTGTAGTGTTAGTGGGCCAAATTTTTTCGCTAACAGTAACTTTTGGGTAGCGTAGCTTAAAAAGCTAACACTACGCTGCACTAACACTACGGTTAGCGTAACTGGCCCACTGTTGGTAAAACATACAGAAAAAAAAAAGAGTTTGTACCGTTGAGGGGACCAAGAGCTGGATCAATGCTGTATTCCATTTGGATTAACGTGTATATAGCCAAGAGCTTGAGGGGAGATAAAACGGTATGAACTTTGGAGATATACTTGTAGTAAAAAACAGAAGGTGGGGTGGTGTGCAGTTCGAGAGCAGTCAAGGGGAATTGGGGGAAGGGGTGGTAGCTGTGAATAACTTGTCATCCAAGATTCACAAAGAAAACACAAGAGGTGTCATCAAAGACGTGAGTTTCACAGGAGGTAGTGAGTTGCTAGTGGGTTGCTGAATCTGGCAACCCAATGCCCATTTTTGCCTTCCGAGGCAAAGTAGAAATTTGTTTGGCACCCCGGGTGGGTGGATTATTTTCGGGTTGGGTTGCTAAATGGGGTTTAGCAACCCGGTTTACCTCCTCGGCTGGAGATGCTCTAAGCCTCTCCTTTGGAGCCAAAGGGACACTCTCCAAAGGAGAGGCTTATGCCAAAAGTCACTCGCATGGCCTGAGGGTGGACGATTTTTTGACAAGAAAATTCGTAAAAACACACTCAACTCCTTTTTTTTTTTTTTTAAAAAAAAAAAAAAAAAAAAAAAAAAACTGTCCAGATCAAATTGAACTGTGATCTGTCCAATCTGTAGCCTTTGATGTCAGGCTTCATGGAACTTTTTTGTTTCTTTTTTTTTGTTGTAAATTTTCATCCCTGATCATTGCAATCAATCATTTGGAGTATCCGGATGTTGTTCAGACAAGACTCTCACAGATTTTTAACTATCAACTTATGAGCCGCCGATTTGCAATAGAAAGCTCTGACTCCCACAATTCTCCAATGATTCTTCATATTTGTATAAAGTTGCCAAGCACAAGAGTATAGGTATAAGTCTATCTATGAGTTTAGGCCGGATTCATATAGCCAGGGATCTGGTCTCTACAGTACCAGAGCGGATTCCATGGACTCCTCAAACCTGTACATGACCGTAGCTTCCAGGGCAGAGCAGTGGATGGGGATGTGAAGTGTTGAAGACTAGTAGAAAAACACACTGATTCCAATGGTGCCATTGGCAAATGTGGAAGCAATGATGTTGAGGGTAGAATCGGGTGAAAAAAATTCTTTTTCAGGGAAATGGCTGGGTGGCCTCAAGCCAAATTCTGCTCATTGGTCACAAGTCCCTCCCTGTGGGAGTGGGCACTTCACATCCAGCGCCAGTGTTCCCACCAGGGAGGGACTTGTGTTAAGTTAGCTCTGAGCCAGGCTGATGATACACACACCACCCAGCTCCCCCCAATAGATTGCCCAGACCGATCCAGCAATGATCAAGGGAGTGTTGCAACCTGGTCCAGCTTCTTGTTTTGTTGCACCATTCTGTGCCAGTCTTCAGATGTAGAGTCCCTGCCATTATTATCCAGTGAACAAGGGAGCACCCCCCCCCCTAGAATGTGAGGATGGAAAGAAGGAGAGGGTGGATGGTTGGAAGGTTGTTGTCAGCCTTAGAGCCAGCCAAGCTGGCCAAAAGACTGCCCAAACTGCCCATTTCTATTCCAAACATTATCTTATCTTTTTTACCTTAAGACTTTTTACTTTTCTGACTTCAGAAATGGATTCCTGGTGTAAAATTAACCCTAGTCACCACTGATCACTTTTACCCAACTCCATTCCTTCATGGACTTTGTAATAATTCACAGTACTCCAAGAATTATTCCAACCTTTAGGTTTCAGCTCCCTCTACCACATGTACATGCCAGATTACATAATCCAACTTTGAAAATCCTCTCTGAGCTTGTTGATTCCGCTTCCAGAGGATTTTCAGACTCCAGACCAACACAGAACACCAACAACCAGACCCAGATCAAGCAAACACTTATCAACCAGAAGGACCTCACTTTTCCTACCTTTCCCACTACTCAGTGTCATTGGTATCATTAGTAAGTCTCTTCTCATAAGTTAAGCTAGCATCTTTCTGCTTGTTTCTCTTCTCTGTCTCTCTCAGTTTCCCTTCCCTCCTCATCAAACCAAAGCCCTGATCAAAGAAAGCAAGCCCTAGCTTCTATTATCTCTTCTCTTCCTGTTTGGTAGTACAACTGAAAACTACATAGGTTTCCCTTTAAAGAGCCTTGATCTTTGATCTAAAAAATTGTGGTTGACCTGATTCATCGGTGTCAATACCCATTTCAGTTTCTGTTGATTTGGAGGTGTCAGAGTTAGCTCCGCTTATAACAGCTATCCTACTAAGGAAAATAAGACTGTCTGCAGCCATCCAAGAGGGACAGTAAGACTGCCATAAATTAATCTTCTTCATAAAATAAACAAAGAACAAAAAGATTATCCTATTCTTTTCCTTCTCTTCTTTCCCTCTCTTCTACTTTTACTTGTATTTCCTTTATCTTTAGAAATGCATTTAAAAGTGCCCCCCAAAATCTTGTGTCCTGCTGTCACTATTGAGACCCAGGCTCACAGTTGTAGATGAGTCGCAAGAGCCTTGACCAGGACATACTCATCTCAAACAGGGACAACACTAATTAACTTGACTTTTGACTTGACAGTTTTTTTAAAAAAATGAGACATTAGAACAACCATATAAACGGAGTAGTAGTAGTAAGAGGAACAAAGGGGGGGGGGGGTATAGTTGAGTGAGTAAGTATGGATGGATAGCACCAAACAATGCTCTAAAGAAATCCGCCCAAAAAACTCATAAAACTCTACCTCAAATCGTCAAAGTAAAAGCCAAGAAGATGACAACCAGAGTATAATTAGGATCATGAATGAACAACCAAAAAAAAAAAAAAGGGGGGGGTAGGGGTAAGTATTTTGCTATCTTTTTTCTTCAGAGAGAGAGAGAGAGACAGAGAGATGGGTGTCCAGGATATACTGAAAGAAAGAAAGAGGGGATAGAAATCCAGGCCATCTGAGACAGGAAAAGTGCCTTGGGGATCAACTCGTGAATAAAGATCAGCCATTGAGTTCTGCGAGAAAACAAAGTGAAATGAATGCAAGGGAAGGAGTGAATTAGAAAAGAAGAAGACTGATTGATTCAGCTGAAGCCCAGAGGCAAGAGAATCAATGGGACAGCAAGACCAAATCCTTCGCATTCCGGATCACTTTCTCGACCGTCCATCCCTGGGCGACAGCGATTTTGCGATTGAGTTTCATGCCCAAGGCCTCGCCGATCTCGTCGGTGGCAATCAAGATCTGGTCGATGTCTTGCTTGGTGTGGGCCGCTGAGACACAGAACCTCACCCGGCCCGAAACTAACGGGGTCGCCGGATATCCGACAATCACCACCACGATCGAGTATCTCTGTAACATCAGTCTCGAGAATAAAAGCATCTTCCGGTCCCCCCCCCCACAAAATTGTTCCATCAAGTTAAAAAATTGATTAGTTTGAAGTTTATATAAGCAAATCGAAAACAGAGAATTCAAAACTTTGTCTCTAACCTTTCCAGGTTGATAAACAAGTAGAGGGACTACAGGAGAATCATGATCGCCGATGACGATGAACCCCAATTTCCTCAACCCAGCGCGCAAGTATCTGGCATTGAACGCGAGCCGTCTCAGTCTCCTTTTACCTTCGGGCATCGGAGCGCGCTTATCCAAGGAGAGACCCGGCAAGGCAGGGGATTCTGGGACCATGATCGACTTGACGGCGCTCAGGATCTGGGAGATCACTGGTGGGGAGACCGATTCGGCGTAGATCGAGGAATGACACGTCTTCCGCATGTGCGCGATTACCGCTTTGCTTCCCGCTATGTAGCCCCCACTTGCTCCAACTATGTAGAAATTAAATTCCCTTCTTGTTGGTCAGCTGCGATTTCTGTCACTTAAGAATCAATCGCTTACATGATTTGGTAAGGGTGCCCATCAACAAGTCTACACGCGAGGGATCTATTCCGTAGTAATCACACGTCCCACGTCCGTTAGGTCCAAGAGCACCGATTGAATGAGCTTCATCCAGATAAAGGTAAAACTGTTTGAAGAAAAAAGCAATCAACATTTTCTGCACTTGAACATGATTATCGCACAACACACCTTGTATTTGTCTTTCAAGCGCAGAATGTTGGGCAGATCGACGATGGAGCCTTCCATGCTATAGATGCCTTCGACGACGACTAGGATTTTAGACCAAGCCCTGAGTCGACGCGGCTGGCCTTGACTGATAGCTTCTCTCAAGAGCCGCTCGAGATCGCGCATGTCGTTATGTTTGTAAGTTCTGACCATAGCACCACTGAGACGGGTTCCGAATCTGATCGAGTTGTGGTTGTATTCGTCGGAGATCACGAGGGCGCCCTTGCCGACGAGCGCGGGCAGGGTGGTCGAATTGGTGGCAAAGCCTTGGGAGACCAACATGGCATCCTCAGCTCCGACGAATTGGGCCAACAGTTTCTCGGTCTCGATGAGCAATGGACTCGATCCGACGTCGTCCCTCGATCCTGATGAGCTCACCCCAAGCTCGGAGATGGTCGCCTGGACTGCATCGGAACAGGACCCTTGAGATTGGGCAAAGCCGAGATAGTTGTAGGATGAGATGTTGAGGGCTTGGGTGGTAGTTTGGGTATACTTGAACGAGACACAATTGTCGGAGGAGGTCCGATCTAGTAGGGTGATCGTCCGCGCAGGCGTCCCGCTCACTGGCCTTCCGAAACAGTCATCCAGTCTAGACTTGACTCGCCTCGTAAAGAATGAATCAAAGTCCGAATTCAAAGCAGCATATCCGTTGTGCAGTTTTAAATGAGCGTGAGATTGGCCTGAGAATGTTTTTCCAAACGCATCACGAACGTGTCTGAGAGGGAAGATATATCATCAAATTCTGTTCTTTTTTTGATCAGGGGGGGGGGGGATATAGTTAGTTTTTAGGAGATAAGACGTACCCAATCAAGAAGACCAAGAGGTAAGACCAATAGGTGGTCAGATAGGTGAAATAGCCGGCATCCTCGGCGGAGATTTCCTGCTTTTGGGGGTTGGTGGATGGGGAGAACCGACTGACCCACATGAAGTCGTGTTCGTTGGGATCATAACCGAATTCAGCATGACGCAAGCAGTGGGGATCGTCCGCGAAGGGGACGACTTCGGGGTCATGATCGAATGAACTGCCTGGTGATTGATTGAGGAGTTGTTTGGAGCGGGGTGGATCGCTGAGAGTGAATTTGAGTGCTTGACGATGTTTGGATCGGTTTGCTTGGTGCCGATCCTCCTGCCGACACCCGAGAAGGGTGGGGGTGAGTCGGGGGGTGATAGGGGAGTGAGTAAGTGAGTGGTGGTGTTAAATGATGATTTGTTATGATGGTGAGGTTGTGACTGGCACTGAATCTGGTGGGTTGTGGGATCTTACCCAAGAAGATGGGGGAGACGTCCGATTCCTAGATGATGAATACTGGATCTATAAACCAGTCGCGCTGTCCTTCATATCAACCGCCAGCTCTCGGAACTGGATTCACGCCCTTGTTATTATGGTTTCGTATTATTAATTTGGTCTTGCAATAACTCAATCAAAGATCATCCTGTGAAAAGATGTGTCCCACCTTACGAGAATTGGATCTGATCCTGATGATACATATCACCTTTCAAGAGAAAACCGCATTTTCCCCAAAACACATCACTCAACGTTTTTTGTCTCTGCTGAGTGGGCTTGAAGCTACGAAGTGTAAAACAGGCGCCATCTCCCATCTTTGACGGACCAGAGCGAACAATTCTGGGACAAAACACCTGCCTGCGTCCAAGCTGCATGGTTCAATTTCACCCATGATCAACGAATGATATTTAATGAGATCCGATCCGAATTCCCGATCAAAAGGGTTTTCATCTCCTAAACAGTGGTGCTCATCATGGTAATCTCACCTCTTGCTTATCGTTGTGGATTGAAATGCATGTGTGTATGAGCTGTGATGTTTTATACCAAAAGGAAACCAAATTTCCAAAAAAAAGGAATATGAAAGAAAAACGAGTCTATATAAACGATTGTTCCCATCTGTCATCGACCGAACCATGCAGGAATATATATACAAAACATAGTCGCTCGGCCATCGACCAAATTGTGGTATGAGAGAGGAGCACCTTATAAGGAGGATAAGAGCCGAAAACGAAACGAGTGCTACAGGGAACCAAGCCGGAAGGAAGCGAAGAGGGTCGGGGATTTCCAGTCGCCAAAAACATCAATCATCCTTGGAGGGTTACATAGATAGATAGAACGACTCCTAGATGATCAATCGTAGGCACTCGAAAATCACTGTCGAATATCATACCCAAGAAGCGAGAAACGATCGGTCAGTCAACTCTCGTCCTCCGGCTCTCCAGTCACTTCAACCAATCAATCCTCTCGATCCGAACTCACATCCTCCCACAAACAAGCCCAGAAACCCATAGATAATCGACAGCGGAAGCTTGGGTTTTGAAGCCTTGTCGAAATCGATCAATAAGGTTGTTCCCAAAAAAAAAAAAAAAAAATCGATTAATTCTCGAATTGTGGTTATGTATGTTGTAGTGGTGGGCTTGATGAAATGTACCTTCTTGAGCAGCTCCTGATCAGGCGCCGACTTCTTGAGCCCGCCGGTCTTCAACGCCTCGGCAAATTTAGCCTCCCTTCGTTGTTGGATCCTACATACGTGTCCGTAGTTGTTGGTGCAGAAGAAACAGAACACAAACAATCAATTATGGGCCGCAATAATTGACTCAGTAAGGACCCATTAATAAATATAAAAAAAAAGGAGGGGATTCACTGACCTGGATTTTTGAGCAGCCTGATGAATTGAGACATGACCATTTGATTCATTTTTTTTTGGGGGGGGGGGGATGTGGCCGGCGATAGATGAAGATAGTTAGTTCAAAACCTGCTACACTTCGGGTGGCCAAAAGATGTCCAAGGGTTCAAGTTAATAATCATTCAGATCCAAATCCGACTGACCATGCTATTTTATACTTGGTTGAGATCACACGTCAATGGTCAAGGCAGATCGAGGCTTTCGGCAGGTCTAGGTGGTAGTAGAGCGAGTTGATGTTGAGTGGTGTTGGTGGGGAATGATGACGAGTGGTGGTGTGTTTTCCAGTTTTTATTTTGTAGCTTTGATGATGTTTCATCGGGGGTTACTCTGCCCCCCCCCCCCCCTGATGTATCACACGGGGGCTTGATTGCTCTACGTATCGACCAGGCACGGGGGGTCGTTGCTGGGGTGACCATCACCGTGCCACAACACCAGGCTTTCAGCTCACCAACTTCAACGAGCTTGAGGATTAATGCTTGCAACCACTGCACCCAGCTGCAAGATTGTGTTTCGAGAAGCCAGACTTTTGAGAGCAGAACCATCTGATACATACAAATCCCCCAGGTGTTTCTCAACTCCCTCCACAGTACTTCATCTTCAAGTCCTTTTAGACCTTTCAAGAAACCACCGATCTGAGTGTGTAGTGGAGTGCCATTGTACTTAATAAATGCATAAATGTCAGAAACTGAAGTGTGGCACGATTCCGTCATGTTTCCTGATAAGCGATCAAGCTGAAAGAAACGGAGAACTGAAAATCCGCAACTGAATTATGACACTATCCCTAGGTGTCCTCCTAGCTCTCACAAGCACGCACTATCTCACCGACAGAGAAAAGAATTTTGAGATGAAAGAAATCCATTGTATTGAAAATGAAACCACTGCAGTTACACTATATATAACGATAGCATTAGATACAATGACCCGAGAGAGAGAAATAAGTAAAGGAAGAGCTGATATATAGAATGAACACAGGTGAATGAATGCTTCTTGCTGCGAGTACAAGGAGATCAGTTGGGCTTGGAAAGGAGGAGGGCAACCCGGGTGTCGTCTTCTTGACCAGCGGCGGCGGCGCGGCGAGCGTTCTTGTTCTGGCTCTGGGTCTGGTGGAAACGGGACAAACACATTCAATCTCATGAACACTGTGGAGCAAAGCAAGCATTTCCAAAAACAAAAACAACTCACATCGGAGGTTTTCCCGCAAGCACCCAAAATACTATTCACGGCCTTCTCGAGGATTTGGCTCGAGCTATGGAGCATAATGCAGATCGGACGGCAAGACTTCTGCGTTATGATCATCATCAAGTTGATTAAGTCGGACTACTTACGATTGACTTGGGGCAACTTTGTCATTCTTAGTGACAAGAGTCAAGGTGCAGCTTCCGTGGGTAGCGCTACTGGTCTTCTTCTCGGCCAACTCATGAGCAGCCCTGAGAGGAGAAGAAAAGCTTTGATCAGCGGGTGATTGTAGTGAGATAAAGCAACATAAGAAATTCCACTCACTTAATACATTCATTGGGCGAGAAAGTGCTAGAAACTCCCTTGTTGCTAATGCAAGTAACTCCGGCCTCTCGTCGGACAAGTTGTTCAGCACTAACGGGGAGAGCTCGTCGGGCAACACTGTGAGCCTCCTCAGTGGCCTTGACAAAGTACATGCCAGGTCCGCGGAGGAGCCAGCCACCTCCATAGCAGTTGTAGTTGTTGAACAGACTGTTGATCCATGGGACACCCCACGAGTTGAGCATCAAGCCGCTTGTCCAGCCGCATCCCCACGAGTAACAGTTTCCGAACCTGTTGTAGAACGAACCATATCTCGCTCCGTATCCCCAGTATTTGGGGTCGACGTCTTCAGTCTTGCCGGCAGCCACTTCCTCTGCGCGAGAAACGGCGACGAGGAGGGACAGAAGGGTGATCAAGTAGGCTAGCGAAACCATTTTGTGAGTGGTGGAAATAAAGGAGTTCTACAAGTATTTATGGAGGCTGAGAAATCGGTGGAGTGCTATATAGTCAAATACTGAGGGCAGGTGAACTGATGAGTGGGATGAGGATGAAGGCAATCGGTGAATGAGGCTCATTTTATATTCTGAAGGTCGGAGTGGAGCCCCCATCCAGCTGGCAAGTGCAAGGTCCGTCTGTGCCGAGGTGTTTGCTGCAAACGTGAGGCTTGCCTGCAAGCCCCACAGTAGACAGCTGATCTACGGACCATAGTGCCGTAGACCAGGACGATAGTGAGGAAATGCCAATATCTTATTTATCACGAACACGAGCGACGAGAACTTCGCCTTCCTGGGAGCTCCTGGGAGCCGTGCATAATTTCACTTGGAAGATGAAACGCTAATGATTAAGCAGTGCCGGACCGGCGATGTCAAAACTAGACCGCTCCGGACCCAGAAACTCTGAGAAGAAAAAAAAAAAAGAAAAAATCAAAATTCTAAAAAATTTATTTATCTTCTATATCTACATTTAGAAAACCTAGACTTTCTATTTCTCTTTACACATCAAATGATAGGTTATAATACTGTTACTAAGATAACGAACATCGCTCATTAGTTACGACATCGAAAAGCTCATTTATCTTCTAAAATTTGTATATTAAAAGAAAAAGGAAAGAATCTCAGGATTACGAATATATAAGACAGCATGTATTTACTCAAGTTATGTCTCCTTAAGAGACTTATTTTGTTATTTCTATCTTTTATAGTAAAATGTCGGTTATCATAAAATAAAAAATCTCAGTTTTAAAAGTTCTTGAGGCAAAGTTGCCAAATTCTTTAGTACATCATAAGTCTCTCAATATACAATAAGAGACTAGGAGAACAGTCTATATCAGTCAACCGTCAATTATCAGTCAACCGTCAATATTCCGTCTTATTCAGTACCAAAACCATCAGAGGAGGACTCTGACATTTCAGTTTCCTCTTTGTCTCAGTCAACACAGTGGTATTCTCCCAAAAATTCTCCCACGATTTCACCGCAGTCTCAGAATATAAATCTAGAATCTTCTCCTCGACAAATCCCTCCTCATCTCTCACGAAATTTCATAGCTTCTCCTGTTCCTTTATCCCGTCCTCGAACATCTCATCGACCACACAACCAATCCTTCTTTCGAGCAAAATTGTTTCACAACAAGATCGAACAACGCAATCAGGCAATACTTGAGGCACTTGAAAAATCTAAGGCTGCGTGTGAAGAATCGGATGCTACGTCAACAATGAATCAAAATCAGAATTCGAAACAGAAGGAAGTCTCTCAACAACAAGACAACTCGGGCACGACAAGCGGGGTGGCCCATCAGTCAACGTCAGGTTTGGGGGGGAATTCGGATGTTCAGGAAACGTCAGATCAACGGGTCGCGCGCCTGGATTCTCGTATGGATAGAGTAGCCACCAGTCTAGAGGTTTTAATCGGCATCATGAAAGCTACCAAACCAGCGAAGCCTGAAGCCCCGACGTTGAATTTTGATCCAGTGACCACAGCACCACCTTCGGCGGAAAACCCTCTTCGTCATCAATTCGCTTTTGTCCAGAATCCGGATACCGTTCAGCACCAGGGTGTCCTTCCAACAGTTCAGAACCCCGTCGGGCAACAGCCGGGCCAGCAGGCGATGTCAAATAACATGCCCCGCCCGTTTCCGTCTTTCAACAACCCGGTAGGAGGACAAGACAACGCCTCCTACTTGGAACCTCAAAAGTTGCCGGAAATATGGTTCTCAGGCGATACGAAGCAGTTGGCGACCTTTCTTCGAGCAATTCGGGATTTTCTTTATCCCCGACACGCATTTTTCGCATCTCAAGCAAGGATGATTGTGTGGATTTCTCGACATTTTGGTTACCGCCCTCCGGAATCAAAGAACGTCCCTTGTGCAGCGGAAAATTGGTACAACGCCCTCATCTTGTCAAACGCTCGCGCCCAAGGAGAAAACAACCCCTACACCGATTTGGATCGACTCCCCTTCATCCACCCAATGTTAACATCAGTGACGGCGTTCGAAAAGGGATTAATCGATACCTTTGGCGATAAGTTTCAGCTGGATTCGGCAAAGAAAGCTTTGGCGGCATGCAAGCAAGGGAAACAATCAGTGGAGGAATACAACGCTCAGTATTCCACGCTTTGCTATCAGGTCGTGAATTCTGAAGATGCTCGTATCAATCGTTACGTTGAAGGATTAAATCACGACATTATCATCAAAGCAATGTCGACTGAATGGTTAGAAGAGCCTACCTTGGCAGGGAAGATGAGGTGTGCGCTTGATGCCTCTCGACAGTTGGCGGCCTTGGCAAGGATTCCAACTCGACAGTCGAATTCAAATCCGAACCCATCTTCCTCCCACCAGTCGTCGTCTCGTTCGCAACCGTTTGTTCCTCCTTTTGCGGCTCCACCTCCACAGCAGGTGTATCAACATCCCAACGCGCCTGCCAGGGCTCCGGATGCGATGGACATTGATGCGATCTCATCCTCGAGAGGTCCTCAGACTCTGGAGCAGCGATTCGAGAAGCTGTTTCGAACGGTCTGTCTGGCTCAACGGGTTTGTTTTCGATGTCTTCAGAAAACGAACCCACCCGATCACACCAATTCGATCAATTGTCCCAACGGTCGAGTTACTCCGGATGCTCGGAAGAAGTTTGTTGATCAATACAGATTTGCGGTCCCGGTTCAGGTGTCGGAGGTATCATTCGGCCCTCGCCCACCGGGGGAAAGTATTACTCGGAAACGTTCTTTGTATTCGGTCCCTTCTCCTTATCAGGCTCAACCCGTCGAATATCAGGCTCCGGAACCAATGATTTCTTCTCGTCAAGTAGTTGAAGACACGTCGGTTCAGGAAGACATCTCGTCATCTCAGCTTGAATTTGATGTTGACTCGGCGGATATGGATGAGGTGGCTGTCTCGACAGTCCAAGTCCGTTTGGATTGTTCTAAAGCAGGGCGTATGCTCATCCCGGTTTCCTTCAACGCCCCGGGTGGATCGGCAATCGCTTCGGTGCTCATCGACACCGGCTCCATGGCGAATTTCATCAGCTCGGACTTCGTCCAACGGAACGGCCTGTCGACTCATAAGCGACAAACTCCCATTCGGTGTGTCGGGTTCGATGGACAGGGTGGCATCGGCGGGATTGTCACTAAAGATTGGTCAGGTGACATCGTGGTCTCC